TAAAGATAGGACAATTGAAAGTATTGAGTCTGAGGAACAGAAAGAAAAATGATTGAAGAAAAGTAAATACAGCCTAAGGGATGTAAGAGATGCCATCGAGAAGACTAACTCACACACTAAGGGAGTTTCAAAAAACAGAAGAGAGAGAAAAAGGAGAGAGAAAAAAAATTATCTGAAGAAATAATGGCCTAAAACTTACTAAATTTGATGAAAGACATAAATATAAACAAACAGAAAGCTCAACAAATTTCAAGTAGGATAAACTCAAAATTCACATGGAAACATTATGTTCAAATTGTTGAAAGACAAAGGGAGAATCTTGAAAACAGCAAGAAAAAAATGATTTGTCACATACAAGGGATACTCCTTAAGATCATAAGCAGATTTCTCATCAGAGATGTTGGAGGTCAGAGGGCAGTAGAACAAGCATTGGCAAGTATATGAAGAAATTGGAACCCTGGTATACTGAGGGTAGGAAGATAAAATGGTACAATCACTATGGAAAACAGTAAGATGGGTCCTCAAAAAAATAACTAAACATGGAAGCAACCCAGGTATGCAATGACAGATGAATGGATAAGCAAAATATTAGACAGATAGACAGATAGATAGATGTTTCAGCCTTAAAAGGTAGAAAATTCTGACATATGCTTTAACATGGATGAATCTTGAGGGCATTATGCTAAGTGAAATAAGTCAGTCACAAAAGAACAAATACTGTATAACTGGACTCATAAGAGGTTCCTAGAGTAGTCAAAATTATAGAGACAGAAAGTCGAATGGTGGTTGCCAGGGACTGAGTGGAGAGGAGAATGGGGAGTTACTAGTCAATAAGCATAAAGCTTCAGTCAAGGAAGAGGAACAAGCGCTAGAGATCTGCTGTCCAATATTGTACCTAGAGTCAACAATGTACTGTACACTTAAAAATGTGTTAGGAGGGTAGATCTCCTGTTAAATATTCTCACAGTAGAATAAAAATATGATAAGGAACACAGATACTTGAATACAATCCTCTATAAACTGAATGAGAATTTATTGTTTAATGGTCATAGAGTTTCAGTTCTGTAAGATAAAAATAGTTCTGGAGATAGACAATAGTGATGGGTGCACAAGAATATGAATGTATTTAATTCCACTGAGCTTTACACTTAACAAATGGTTAAGATGCTAAATTTTATATTATGTGTATTTTACCACAGTAAAAATTAAAAATCGAGAAAAAAATCAAGATGGGGTGCTTAAATAAATCTAGTACTCCATTGAGACAGCCTACTCAGAACTAATTACCCACCCATTCACCTTGGAATCTCAAATGGCCACCTACTGTGTCCACCCCCAGCCAGCTACATCATTCTTTAAAAAGTACTTGTTGAATATAATTAACTTTTGAGGAAGTGTCAAACTGATTAAAGAATAATATCATCAGATATTACTCTTAATTTAAAAGTCTTATCTGCAATGAGAAGTAAACTGATTCAGAAACTGCCAAATAAAAGAGGAAAGTTGTGCCTGACTTCCATTCTCCCAGTGCCCTAAAGCCTGTGCCCTTTTTGCAGAATCTAGAATTTGCATTCCTTACTCCTAAAAGTCACTGCAGCCAAGTGGTCTGTCCTGCCAGGGAAGGCTTGTGACACAATCATGGGGCCTCCCAAATGACTAGGCTCCTTGATTATGCTGCCACTGGGCCCATGAGTCTAATTAGGCTAAGAAACACCTTTAATTAGGATGGCCTAATAGAGTCAACTTATAACTCAGGAATGTGATTACTGGTGTCAACCAACCAAATTTACTCTCCTTCATGCTTCATCATTATGAAGCTCATCTGATGTTCTTAAAATCTAGCTTTGATTTGTAACAGTTTTTTTTTCACTAAAACCACATAATTCTTCGAAAGATAAGATCAATAATATTGATGGTATTCAATGGAGAAATATAGTGTAAGTTTCATTGACCAGTTTTATAGGTGGCACTCCCTTAAACAAAACATATCATAGATACATCTTTCAATTATTTTATCTTATTCTGCTTAAATTTTTAAAGTTAAGTCATTCACAATCATTCTCAGTATTCAAAGGATTTAAAGTTATTTTAATTATACGATTTACCAAAAGCATGATATATATTCTACAGATAATATATACATACATGTATTATATATAAATTGTGTATTTTTGTATACAATTTTTATATAAACAAATTGTATAAATACTATATGTAATAGTATGTAATAATATAAATATTATACATCTAAGTTATAAATTGGCTCCATAGATCTTTAACACATTTATGGATGGACTTTTTGTGTGTGTGTGTATTTTGTCATTGGAAAATGGTCCATAACTTTCATTTAAGTCTGCGATCATCCCCTCACAGCCACCAAATAAAAGGTATAGAGCTATACTCCACGTCTAGAGCTATACTGTCTCATAATGCAGTCATTAGCCACTTACAACTAATGAGCACTTGAAATGTGTCAAATGTGAACTGAGATGTGTCCCAAGTATGAAACACACACTGGATTTTGAAGAATTAATATGAAAAAGAAGATGTACAACAGCTTAATGATTTGCACATTGACTGCATGTGGAAATAATGCGTGGGACATAGTGGGTTAAATAAAACATACTGTCAGCATTAATGTCACCAGTTTTTGCTTTTGTTAATGTGATTACTAGAAAATTTAAAATTACATATGTGGCTCACACTTTATTTCTATTGGACAGCACCGGTTGGGGAAAAGTCAAAGCTCGATCACAGGCAGGTTGCTGATTCTAAGAGGTTACTACCAGCAAAAAAAAAAGTAATAATAGTTCCAAAATTGGATTAGAAGAGAGGTTTTGGCAAAAATCTCAGACTATGCCTAAACATAATAGGCTTAAAAGCATAGATTTAAACTATTTTCATCCAAATATTCTTGCATAATTTCCTTTAAAGAATCAAGAATTTGGAAGGAGAATTTGACACAATGTTGTAAAATGATTATAAAACTCAATAAAAAAAGTGAAAAAAAAAAGAGAATTTGGAAGGAAAAGACTGATGTCAGCTCTGAAACATGGCCATCTATATTTGCAGATAATTCATGGGGTGCATTTTGATAAGAACCTCAGGACAATAGTAACTCAAAGCAGACTTTTGCTTTTAGCACATCAATAAGATGCTACATTTTAAAAACCCAGAAAATGTAATGTGAAGCATTCATGAAAAAACATCTCAAGAGAAACTGGAACTCCCAATGCATAAAGGTATATGGGTATGGTACTTTGATTCACGAATCTAATTAGTCTTCTCCAACTCTTACATGGTGCCTATTATCCCCCTTATTTTATAGACGTGAAAACAGGCTCAAAACCGTTGACTCACTGCCCTTTGAGCATAAAAACTGTCTTATTTTCCATTGTGTATTTCAAGGCTTGTACTGGGTCTGCCACAAAGTAGGTTGAATGGCCACTGGCTGAGAAGTAACAGTTTACTGATTCCAACACAAGGTTTCTCTCTCAAGAGTGTCTGATTACAACATCCTTGCTTTTCCCAATACCACATGCTCAGAGAGGTATGACTAACTAATTTTTAAACTATTCTCCCCATAAGTCAATGGGATATAAATATTTTTATTCTATCAACAAAAGTTTTCTTTTTCTTTTTAGAAAGTAACGTAATGTTAAATCATGTTTCCTGATTCAAAACCAGGAATACAAGTGCCAGCTTGACTGGATATCACACTCAATTGGTTGGACAAGTCTTTGATGCACTAAATAAATGGAACAACTTTGTCCCTCATCCGAAGTAATAAAGTACAGAGCAGAGTGCTCTCCCTCATTCTCTCTCTCTCTCTCTCTCTCCTCTCTCATTTTCAGTAAGGATCTAGATCTTGCTTGCTTCTACTTCTTGGAGTTTTGGGTTTTCTCCTTGCTCCCTATCCCGGCTGCCTCTCCTCCTTTGCACTGGAGAATGCACATCCAACAACACGAAATTTTTAGCTTTACTTATGAGTTAAAAATAAGCTCTAGATCTGAGTTCTTTTGAGCTGAGTCCGAGTTCTGCCAGGAATTCGCGTCCAGAGGCGGAATTCCTCCAGCAACAATTCCTGTCCCATTCAACTTGTGAGCGCGAGCTGAGCCTGGTGCATGTGCTCACACGGACCTGCGCATCCGGGCTCGCTCGCACATACCACAGTAGGGTGGGTCTCAGGCTCTCTCAGAGCCTAACGTGAAGGTCTGAGAGGAGGTCGCACCTGGTCCCCACCCCTTCCCCGACAAACCCTGGACAGTAACTTCGCCTGCACACCTAGAAAGGCAAAGCACACTCCTTTCCTGGTCCTGCCCAGGCACAGTCACTCCTATTTACCGTCTTGTACCACCAGCTTGCGAATGCCATGGCGACGACCGATTTGCTCTGAGTCGCACAGCAGAGAACGCGACGAGGACACGGGGTGCAGTGCAGCAGGGGCCGGTCTCACCCTTCACCTGAGCAGGATCTGGCCGGCGCTGAGCTTAGCAAGCCCCACATCTGTCAGTGAGGAAGGCACCTGGGCGGGGCCGACGCAGACCCCACCCTGCCGGGTTGACTCCGCCCCGCCCGATTTGGCTCTTGTCTGATTAGGGAAGAAGTGTTATTTCTCCAGGCAGCCACGCCCGGCGGCCCGGACTTTAGGAGGGAGGCAGGACTTCTAGTTGAACTACTGCACACACTCCAGGGAGTCTCAAATGAACTTTATTCCCCTTAATCCTCATCCGCATTTCACCTGTCTCATCAAGCAATTTTTCCCAATGCGGGCTACTCCAATCTGGTTTGGGCCACGCCCAGCGTACTTGACCCAGGGCCGAAAAATCCCCCGCCACTTTCAGCCACCTGCCGGGAAGCAGGTTCTGGGTCCCGCGTCCTTCTCCGGCCCAGGAAGGGGCGCAGAGGGCAGCAAGCCAGGCAGAGGAAGTGACCCATGCCTCCGGAGCCGGGGTCCTCCCAGTGTTCAGCCCTATGGCTCCGGTAGGAGCGCCACTCACCTCCTGGGTGTGGCGGGCCGCCGCAGCGCGCTGGGGTCTCGGGGAGGCCGCGGGCTTCTGGCCCGGCTGGGACATGGCGAGGCTGCGGCAACCGCTGCCTCTGGGAAGGCGTAGCGGAGACTGGAAGGGAGGGCCAGGCAGGGAGTGCTGGGAGGGAGGGAGGGAGGGAGCGGAGGGGCCGGCGGGTGCGCCCGTGAGGCAGCTTTTCCGACCCAGCCCCGAATCTGCGCGGGGGCTCCCCCTCACCCCGCTGGGCCCTCCCCTTCCTGCCTGCCGATGCTGCGCCCCGGCTGTATTGGTCCCGGGCTCCCCTTCTGCAGCTTAACACCCTCGGGCCCGTATCTTCATCCAGTGACACTCCCACCCCCACCCCAGGACTGCTGGGTTCCCTGTGGATCACAGAGAGGAGGGGCTGGAGGTCGCGGGGTTCCTCTTTGACTTGCTCAGACTTAGCTTGCAGTTGAGCAACGGAGAGAGAGAGAGAGACCCGGGTGTGGCCCGTTTACGCTTCCACCTCCCCCCTCCCTAAGAATCAAGAATTAGACACACCTTTTCTGCCTTCTGCCCTGGTTTAACTAAAAGAATTTACCAACTCTAATCTGGCCAAGCCAAGACTATCTGGGTAACGAAGCGATTGAGAAAAACGAATTGGTGTGTGTGTGAGATTCAGTGTGTGTGCGACTTTCAGTGTGTGTGCCTCTGTTTTAGGTCATTTTACTTGGGCGGGACTGGGAACGGAGTGACAATTTTGAAAGTTTAATGATTTTTGGGGGGGAGGAAGCTGTAGGTTCCAATCCAAACCGAAGAACAGTCCCAAATTTAAACCTTTATAGCCTTTCTGGAAGCTGGCAAATTTTGTTTTGGAAGCTGGATTGCTTTTTTGTCTTTGGCTCATCTTAAACATCACTTCCTGGTTTGGAGCTGTGAAATTTAACAAGCCTGCAGAGACTGTCTGCCTGTGGTTGCTGCCGGTATGTGATCAGATCTGACAGAAAGAAACTTGTTACCCTGCAATGACATTGACAGTTTGGGCCTCGGGGGTCACTGCTATCTGCCCTGTTGTGTTTTAAAACAGTTGGAGAGAGTGGACAGATTATAAGGAAAGATTTGTCATGCTGTATGGAACTTTGCAGAATAGAATTCTTGTTTTCTTTGCCCCTCTCATTTTTACGGGTTCTGACTTCCTTTTATTCAAGGGACTGGCTAGCTCATTCTTAATGGAGAGAGCAGGAAGAAATGATTTAAATGCATTTCTTCTTACAGTTTTACACTTACTATTCTATGTATCTGGTATTTCCAACAAACAGGTGACGGTATAGGAATTTACACATAAAATTAATTAACTTGGATACGGGGTCAATGACCAAGCATTCAAGAAAAAATGATTAGTAGCATCAGTTACATTCGTAATTGGGGAAAACATGTCATAAGCCTGAAAAATGCTTTTATGATTGTGACCAAACATCTACAGTAATTTAAGCAAACACAAAACTATAGTGGTGAGGTAATAGCCAGCCCTACCTCCAGACCCAGGAACTGGAATCATCTCCTTTCTCAGGATCCTGGAGGATCTAGGTTCAGGATCCATGAGTACATTATTCCAACTAACTCTGGAAAAATAATCCCTATTAAAATTTGAGGTATTTTCTAACAGAGTATTTAAAATTGAACTTAAACCAGTTAGTTTTCCATTTTGAAAGGTTTTCACATAAAGCACAGCAAAAGGTTGTAGAGGGAGTGATATAAAGGTTAAAATACATATTCCCTGCTTTCCAGGGACTATGAGTTTAGCTAAAGTCAAATGGCATTTGTAACACATGATCATTTGGGTGACAATGAAAGACATACAATGTGTGAATAAGTACAAATGTGCTTTGGGAATTTGCGGATCTGTGAATTTTGGTGATTATAGGAAGAGAATGGAGTCTTGAGCGAGCTGGTGGCTGGTGGGATGTGGACAGCAGAAGAAAAGGTCAGGGCAGATCAGGAAATAAAAAGGAGCCTACTTACCTGGCTGGAGCTGCTGGTCCAAGTTCAGGAGTAATCAATCCGTTGCTTAACTTATTTTGTCTTAAGCAGCCACACTGCGCTCATGATATAGTTGACACCAAAATCTGTAAGACAATGACCTTAGCTTTCAAGGTTTGCTCAAGAGTCAGAATTCATGTAAGTAGAACAATTTTAGGCTAAACAGCACATTGATATGAATAGAGAACAATTTCCAAGAAGTTGAAGAAGAGGGTGATGTTTTCAGTAAGAAATTTGGAACTCTGATACCACGACCAGCATTGGAGTATCTTACGGAGGCTCGTTTTAAAACTATATGGCAACTTTTGCTACATTTTTATTTAAATGAATTTTTTGGTTTCCCGGTACACATAAAAGTTGTTTACAATATACTGTAGTCTTAAATGCGCAATAGCATTATGTTTTAAAAAATGATGTACCTTTTACATACCTTAATTCAAAAATATAAAGCAATTAACAATGATAACATCAAAGATCACTGATCACAGATCACCATAACATGTAATAATAAAGAAAAAGTTTCAAATATTGCATGAATTACCAAAATGTGACATGGAGATATGAAGTGAGCAAATGCTGCTAGAAAAAGACTTGCTTGATGCAGGTTGCCACAAATCTTCAATATGTTAAAAAAAAACAAAACCACACACAAAACACAACAATATCTGCAAAGTGCAGTAAAGTGAAGTGCAATATAAGAAGTCATGCCTGTATTTTATTCCTTCATTTACTCAGTAGCAGGATGCTGGCTGTGTGTTAGGCTCTGTGGAGGTAACAGGGACCTCCTACACTCAAGGCCCTCACAGTCCAGGAGGAAATAAATCCACAACATGACTGTGGGATAAGGACAGGGGCCTGCAGAGGTGTTCCAAGAACACTGTTGGATCCCTGGAGGAGATTCTTATTCCCACTGAGGGGGTGTGAAGGCTGGGGGAGGGGAGGAGTTCAGGGTCTGCTTCCTCCTCCCACGACTGATTAACTTGAAACCTCCTCTGAAAAATCTCCACGTTGTATCTTCTCTTCACCCTGATTACCACTGTAGCTGTATGGGAATTCATCACTTCTCAACCAGAAACGTGTACATGAGAAAAAGAAAGGCAGGATGGCATCCAGAGAAGCCAGTGCAGCCTGAGAAGGGGTGGCAGCGGGGCCAAAGGCAGCTGGTAGGGAAACGGGCAAGGGAGGTGGGCCTTCTGAAAGGAAGACTGCTGCACAGTATAGAAGGTCACTCGAAGTATGGGTCAGACAACACATGGATTGTCCATTTGACCTGACAGCTGGGAGGTTTTTAGAAACCTAGCCAGTGGGTAAAATCGAGAAGGAGACAGAGCATGTTTCTGAGGTACCCACAGTTTGGACAGTCCCTTCACTTTGGATGGTATTTCTTGCTACACTACCTCATACCCCTGGAAGGGAAGTTTCCCCCTGGACCTTCTGTCTGACATCCAAGAGCCCTCCAATTCCACTGAAACTTACTTGTCCTATCTGCCATCTCAAGATTTTCAGTCAAGTTTGCTACACTACATAGTGGTAAACCAGAAAAAAAAGAAACCCTCATAAACAGGCAAAAACTAATTAGCAAAATATGCAAAGATTCTCAGAGTCTCCTTTTCTTTTTAACACGCCTGTATCTGAGTAGGAGCCCCATGCTTCTGTTGAATTATCCAGAAGGGTGGCTTCAGTGGTGAAGCTCCGTGCCCAGGAAGATGAAGGTGTGCTGGCCAGTAGGAGGCAATATTTTGACCACAGGAGACTTGTCATGTGCTCTGGTCTGAAATGTTTGTGTTCCCCAGATCCCCACACGGGATGCTAATGCCCAAGTTGGTGGCATTGGTAGGTGGGACCTTTGGAGG